ATCTGCCACGAGCAGTAACGATTGGGCCATCCATTGTCATATTTTGTTACCTTTTAGTTAACGTATCCTGTAAGTTCTCAGAAAAAATTGCTGAGGGTTTGGAATGCCTCTAAATTATCACAGATTACTCTGTTTTGCCTGCAGATCTGGTGTCAAAATCTAATTCAATTGCCGTGGTAAGAACTCTGTTTTTCGTTTCTCAGACTGTTCCGATTTCCTAGAGTTTCAAATTTTAAATTCTCTTTGTTCTAGGATTTCGGCAAGAAAGTTTTTGGCCCCGTCTCGTCTTTCCTTATCCCCTAATTGTTCTCGGGTCCACGTTGGGGGCTTGTAATGCCACCATATTTACCGGAAGTCGCGTCACGTCGACATCATCAAAACACGGGCATTCGCCAAAGTTTCTTGGAACCCTTCATACCAAGTTCCGCACTCCCGTCAACGCACTTATTCTTCAAGCCGTTTTATCATCCGCGTTTTGCTCAGCCGCGTCCTTTTCACCGCTTGTTACTTTCTTTTCCGATATCGCTTGGTTGTTTTATCTTTTGACGGTCGCGTCTCTATTGAGGTTGAGGGTCACCGAACCTTATCTAGAAAGACCTTTTAGAGTCTGGATAGGGGCTCCAATCATCTTTTGTGCTGTTACAACGGGCATGATCACACTAAGTCTTATTGAACGCCCTGTTGAAGGTTTATGTGCTACCCTATTTATGCTTTCCGGAGTCCCTGTTTGGTGGGTGGCTTTTAAGTCGGGCTGGACAGCTCCAGGTACCTTTAGGCTATTATTACCTTTGTTTTTAAAATCTGGCTAGATGATTTGCAGGACTTGATGCATAAGGTTTCTGTGCCCTTGCGGATACTACGGAGGAATCGAAATGGCGTTGCCTCTGCATCAACCGCTTGGCCACTGGGGGTAAAAAAATCACAGCAGCCTTTGTCAAACGTACCGGAGATGTCTACCAGCACAAGCTCAGAGCAGCTATAATGAATGGTTTCTCTTATTACTTAAAGTAGCAATACATACCCAAAACTTATGAAAATCTGTGTCACGTGTTTCTTCTAGTTCCGTCGTGGAACGCTAACACCTCAAGATAATTATGAGCGTGGTGCCGGAGATTTGCATTTGGCAATCCCTAAGCACCATAAGATAGGCCTAATAAAAATTCAAACACGTTTATCGAGCCAAAGGGTAGCTTCATGACCCAGGCGCCCTGGCTTCTTTGGACCCTCGCGGTCGGTCTGCTGGGATGCGTACCCCCAGTTGTTCTAGCCGTCGTTTCGAAACTAGATCCAAATACTCTTGAATTCGGATATGGCTGTGGAGGCTCTTGTCAAACGCATTACCGTTGGCTCATGCAACAATACGAGAGTCGGAGGTCGAATAGCTCCGTTATCGAATTTTGGAATATGCGCATCGCGGACCCTGACTTTCCTAAAATCATGTTTGAAATGGGAACGTTCCCCGATGTTATGGCCATCCTGCCGGCTCAGGTTCGGCAAAACCCCTTTTGGAACTCAATGCGTAAATATTTTACCAACATTATAGCGTTAAAGTATTGCTGTTTTAATACATAGGTTTGCCAACCTCTCAAAAACCTTTGAAAAGACTCCCTTTTCCGAGTTCCCTCAGAACTACAAGAACATATGCTCATGTAAGTCCTTTTGTTGAGTACGACAAGCTTATCTAGCCCAGTTAAAAATTCCACGACAAATGATACGATGCATGTAATCAACTAGGAGCTTAACACTTAATCCGACTAATATTACTATAGTTCTGCATACCTATAAATATCTTTGCACAGAAAGTCTTTTACCGGTAATATTTATTTTTTCGTTTTTGCGCACATCCTTTTTTTACGCAGAATTTGCTGACGAGGTGGGACCTAGGCCGTCTGTCTTGGCATATAATAATGTCTCGATACCAGTGAACTTTGAGTCGTTACTTGGTAATGATGTTTGCCTACAAATAATTTAATATCCAAAGACGTCTGCCAGAAGTTTGCCAGTCGTGGAAAGTCTCTTTTCTTTTTTGGGCTCAAGCTACCAATGATATTCCCCGTTCAATACTATTTCGGCGCATTATTCACCAGACTCTGGGGTTCCGAACTTTATGAGAAGTTACTTTCCGGGAATTGGCCCTGGGTGTCTCATGAGGTTTCGACAGTCATGGATCACTGGAAAATGATGATAGATAACAAGTGCTTCGGGAATGGTACTTTTCAAAATAGCTATGATCATACGTAAGTTTTTCTGGGGGAAAAAACGAGGAACTGCTAAAAAACTTGCTTTCTTTTATGTTACTAGATACACTGACCAGTGGTGGGGTGCATCGGTTGAAAACGCCACCTTTGCAATGGCCGTCATGCCTTCATGGTCAGTAACTTGCGGCTTTACGACATCTTTACATAGCGAAAAAACCTGTTCTTTATTTCTCTGCCGGAGTTTCCTTAACGCATACAATCATTAACAGGTACAACTATTACCGACGCGATGGTCCAGAACCACTTATTAATGGCGACATCCCATCGATGCCCTTCCCACGAATTCGACAAAATATTTCACGAGTTGAGATTATGAGCGCAGAGGCTGTAGCAGTTGGCTCGAAATCAAAAAATGTCCCTGCCGCGATTGAGATGGCGGAACTTTTTACCGGTTTTGAGGCCCAGAAGCAGGGACTTATTAACGGTGGCGTTACGTCGTCATTTATTCCTGGAGCTGGTTCCCTCAACAACTCGGACTATAAGATTCTCAGTACAGCAGATCAAGTTGTTTTGTGGTTTGATGGTATCTCTGGGTTTCAGTTTGCGGGTCCTGCTTACAAGGTGAGATTGGCTTTCATTTGAATTATTAACGTAAAAATCAGGCTGACTAATCTTCATTTCAGTATTTTAGAGACTTCTTATTGAATCCAACAACATGGGCACGGTCTGCAAAGGTAAGAAAAAGTAACCTCGTCAGGTATAAGCTAAAACAGTTTTTTAGGCTCTTGATGATTTAGCAACAGAGCTATATCACAGCAAGACACCGGATCCATCAGTTAATGTAGACTTGCTTCGAAGTGGTAACAGCTCAAATCAGGATGAGACAATGATATTCACCGATAAAGCTACAGTTGTTCTGGCGCCAGCCACAAATGATGCCATGATATATTACACCTTGGATGGCACTGAGCCAATCGCCGGGACATCAAATCTTTATCAAGGGCCTATCAACCTTGCGCCACCAAGGACATTTAATCCTGTTACATTTCAAGTTAAAGCCATTTCCTTCAAATCTGGACTCAAGTTCCTCTCCAACGTTACCGCTATAAATATCACGATACAGCGTAGCCGCATGCAACATGGGCTGTGTATATGGAATCTGTGTTGATGACAATGTTTGCCAATGCTCATATTTCCATCGGAACATTCTGTTTTCAAATTGCACGGAGGCGATACCACAGGAATATACTATCTATAGCGTTATTGGGACAGCAGTCATCTCTGTCAATGCTTTTTTGATGGCTTCATATGTCGGCATTGGGGCGATTTTTATTGCACATTTTTAATCACAAAGTAGTCCGGACAGCGACATCGATGGCTATGGTGTTGATCGTTCTTGGATGTCTCTTAGGAAGTGCAACGCTGTTTCTTTATGATTCAAAAGCCGACCGTATTTACGTGTAACGCGCGTCATTGGTTTGCTTCTATAGGTCGGCAGTTACTTGCAGTTGTCGTGAATTTCCTCGCTGACTCGTGTTTTTTATTGTCTCTCAGGTTTCGGTCTGGTTTGGGGAAATATTCTCGCAAAAGGAATCAGAATATATCGCCTTTTTAACAATACAAGTGGGCGGACTATCATGATAACGAACAGCGCCGTGTTTACGTGGGTCGGAGGAATCGGAGGAGTCGAGATATTCCTTAGCTTAATTTACACTGTAGTTAACGGACCCAAACCCGTTCTGATAGAAAGAGCCGATTTCTTGGAGTGGACCTGTCAGTCACAAAGCGCGAGTTTTGACAGGACTATGATGGCAGCGTTTATTGTCTATAACTCTTTGCTCATTCTCGGCGGGGTCGTTGTCGCATTTCTTACGAGAAACGTTGCATCTGACTATAACGAATCCCAAGTTTTAGGATACACAACTTTCACGTTCACCATCGTGACGTTGATTACCACCCCAATTTTTTCGGTGTCAGGCCTGTCCTACAGGGCACGCTTTGTGCTATTTGCGGCTATGATATTTATCCTCACCGGCATTATCATGTTCTTATTTTGCGGATCTAAAGTAGTATCCTTAGCCCGCGAATTTGGAGTTCTTGCCAAGCACCAACAATCGTCTCAATATGAGCCCGTCACGGCATCGATATTAAAGGAGCGTTCAGCTCAAAGAATGACTCCCAAGGATGGAGAAACCAAAGCGGAGGCAATGTTTGTAACGAGATTATTCTGTTTGCTCCCAGGATTAGCGTCGAGGTGGATAGAATGTACAATCATCTGTTCGCCAACACAGGATCTATTGGTCGTCAGCAACCATGAACAAGGAAGCAATGTTTTTGAGCGCGAAAATGTCAAACTGCATCGTCACCAACGTTCAAAGTAGGATCACATCTTCAGGAGGAACGATTTGGACCGCGTACTTGCAAAGCCTTGGAAAGCAAAGTCTAAAAGTGCAAGCATCGGACGAGGAGGTTTTGAAAACATTGGTCATTGTACCGTCGTCGAGTTCAGCTCTCTCTGGCAGTATGGGGCGAAGCAGTGGAGGTCAACTGACGTCAGAGCGTTGGGAATCGACAGTTAAATTGGGAAAGCTTACTGAAGGAGCCGGGAAAGACGCCATGATCAGCATTAGAGACGGTCCGATTAGTCCATAGATTGTCCATAAATATATACTTACACCAATGGGACCTTTTCTGATTTTACTATACAGCGTGACGGGTGACGGCATTTCTAAAAAGTTAAGTCCACCACACAAATTAGTAGAACAAGTGAGAAAAAAGAATAAGTGAAGAAATACTTTATCAAGCCTCTTGTGAGGTTCGAACTCACGACCTCCAGTTTAGAAGACTGACACTCTACCACTGAGTTAAAGAGGCAATTTTTCAGATTTGAATACACGATCGTCTCTGAAGGCATATATATAGTAATACACTTTAAATATTGTTTGTAAAGTGAGCTCTGAGGCTTGTTAGTGAGTTTCATTTTATAATTGCATTCCTCTTATGTGAGCCTAATCTTAGAGAGGCCTAATAATCTCCATCTAGGTAGTCCTATTATGATGTTCAAATCTTTGTAACTATATGTATGGGGACCCGAACACATGGGTGTGTATCTCTATGCGTCCGTATGTCATATGTTTCGTTTCTTCGGTCAACATCACTTTTAAACTACGTATTAACCGGACCCTAAGCAGTTTAGATCATCAGATATCTGGTAAAATATGATAATGATGTGATTATTATACTGACAGAGTTTTGCATTAAAATGTCCTAACAGAATAACGGTAAACATGTTGAAGTCTAGGGCAACTAATAGCTTATTAGATCCAAAAGTAGCTTTGAGATGCCTAGATGCCTACGCTTTAATTTGATCGTGTCGTATTTTGATCGTGTATTATATTTAGATTATCGTAATATACAAGCTGGCTATACAAGCTGGCGATACAATGTATTTAAATTGTAAACGACTTTCAGAAGCTCCGAAGTTTTAAAAATCCAAGTTACTCGTCTCAAGACAAAAAGAAAGTCGCAAGAGAAGAAACTTGGTATCTCCAAAACGGCGAATGCCAGAAAATATAAATAATTATAATAAAGCGAGAGCAAACGCGGAAGAGGAGCAGGTGTCTAGCGACCCGTAGTTCTCCAAATCCAAGTTACTTGTCCATGACAGTATCAAAGGAGAAGTAATCTTGGTATCCAGAAAACGTCGGGGTTCAAACGAGATGAAAGAGTGATGCAGGAGTCAAGAGAAATAGGGAAAACCGAGTTGGTGAAATAGCACACGAAGTTCTCCAAATCCAAGTTACTTGTTCTACTTTAAAATAGTTAAAAGCGGAAAGAGTCATCTTGGTATTTGCAAAACGTCAGTTAGACTGCCACCTGAAAGCAAGACGGAAGTCCGTTCCAGATCGTAGTTCTCCAAATCCAAGTTACTCGTTCCATGCATGAAGGCACTAGCATTGGAAGAAGTATGCTTGGTATTTGCAAAACGTCGAGTAGAATACGGCCTCCCAACAAAGAAAGAGTAGAATAGAAACAGATCCAGAGCGTAGTTCTCCAAATCCAAGTTACTCGTCGCCGACAAAAAAGTGTGCACAGTACGATGCGGCGAGGAGATACCCAAGTATTTGAAGAACGTCGACCAAAGGCATGTTCCGGAAGAGCGAGGAAGAAGATTATGCAAGGGATAGGGGAAGGAAGGGCGGGGAAGGTGAGTGGAGAGTGAGGAAGAAATGTTGGGGGAGAAAGAGGGGGTATTTATGGGAAAGTAAAGGGCTGCTTTACTAATATGAAAGCTGCAAAAAACGAAAGGGATGATTCGACAGGGGGTCAAAGAAAAGCGTCCGAAAAGTATGGACAAATGATAAAAATACAAAGGGTGCGCAGTAGTGTAGGCGTTGATGCTGAGCTCTATCTTGGTGCTCGACAGAACAAGAAGAGGAGAAGGTGGTGGACTGTGTCATTGAAGAGATGTTTTGTGGTGAATGATAATGATGATGAAGATGATGAGATGATGATGATGATGATGATTATGATGATGTTGATGATGATGTTGATGATGACGGATGGATAGATGATACTTTACCAGACAAAGGATCGTTGGTAAACGCGGGTTGCAAGTCCAGACAGACCCTCAAGGGAGCAAAGCGTCAGGTCATTTTAAAGCTAAAATTAAAAAATATTTGGTGGCTGATCGACGACGACCCACATCCTATAATAGTAATAAAATAGAAGTACCTGTTTTCCTATCGACCCATTCTACTATCGACCCTAGTAAATACACCAACCAGCCTTCACAGAGCATTTTTAGTAATTTTTTTACTCTTCAAAAAGTGTTTTAATATTATCTCAAGCGATGAGGATTGAATAAAATATATTTATTGCCAAGGTCTGAGTCCAACTACCTACTTACCTATGGGCTTTGCAGGCAGGTAGGTATGTCATTATGACAGGCTGCTGGCACCTGAAGTCTAGACAGCACCCCCTGGTCGACAAGTAAAAGCAAAAACAATCCAAGAGAAAGAAGAGAACGCGTTGTTTTTATTAAACTGTTGATTTGAGGAAAGAATAACTGAGTATTTGCCGTTATAGTGTGTTGTCGCGTCGTGTGTTAAAAGTTATCTGTCCTGAAGAATCCTCCACGACGCGTTCGGTCGCAAATCACGTCTGTGCATCCCGCAAACACCCAACAGGCTCCTCAAAAAACAAGCAAGCGCTTTCTCAACACTGTCAATCTCAACATCGTTGCCATCTTTGCCTGCAACCGTAAACGGAGAGAGAGTCTTGTACATCCAAAAAGCATCGTTATCGTTTGTGCGTCTTGTGGATCTGTGATCCATAAAGGGAGAGATGGTGATTTGATAGAAAGGACGTCAAGTGCTTCAGGAGGAAGAGCGGCGATGGGAGCGTGAGCTTGATTGCAGTTGTAGAGGCTGAGATGGAAAGCTGCTCCAGTGACAATGAAGAAGCGACGCGAATGCCTCCAGAAATTCTAATGGCGTCAGGGATGATGTGCGCGGGATGTGATAGAGGTAGGGGATGTCTCAGCGGTTTCCCAGCCAGTGGGAGCTTCCAAAATCACATCATCTTCAAGTCGACCACAAAGAATTCTCTAACCTCCACCGCCAAAGAGGTGGACGAGGCAGCGGTAGTAAGATCCGAAGCCATGACACTATGACCATGTAAGCAACAACGTCCACTAGTTTTCGTTCCAGGTAGAATCATCCTGGATGCCTTTCTCCGCGCATCCCCTGATGCCGGGACCCAATGCGTCCAAAACTGGCATGGTGTCTTGCAAACGTTCCAGCAACACTTGGAGCAACTCTCTCAAACAAGGATCTGGCCACTACCACATCCTCAAATGATAAAGTGTTGAGCTTTCTACAAGCACTCTTGGACTTGCCCAAATCTGCGAGTTCGCCCGGCTGAATATTCAGGTTGTAGAATCCAAGACCGGCAAGCTTTCCATCCCAGAGAAGCGTAGAGAGGAGCAGCAGCTGGCGGCGTGAAGGACAGCAAAAGGGATACCTTTGGATTTATGTAATTTCGCTCATGGCCATCAGCTTAGAGGCGAGGCGCTTCCCGCGATGTTCAACTGGGTTGCGACGTCACCAATTCCGCCTACTTGAATAGTGATGCCTGGTGCGAGATGCATCTTTCGAACGTAGTTCTCACAGATGACACGACCTGCAAACCAATGAGATATTAGTTACAACGATCTCGGAAAGGCTTGGGCATGCCACTCATGAAGAACACCCAACACAGGTCTATCTCCTCACCTCTTTCCCTCCTTTCAATCCGTCTGCGAACGCTACAGCAACACCATCCTTATCGGCGTACGGGTCATTTACCCAATGATCCTGAAAGAGACTTCGCGGAGCTCCCGGTGCGCCATTAGCCTTGGGAACTCCGAAGACGATACCGAGATGTCCAAAAACTGTTCCACCTCTGCATCGTTTGCAAGAGTTCCACATCGTATGCGGCACTCGAATCGTCGCGCTTTTCGATTGTTGCATTCGGATCATGACGGTTCGTTACACGTAGTTTTCCGGGATATCGCGATGCAGACTTTCAGTGTTATAGATAGATGGATGTTGAGCTATCAACTGTGATGTATAGAGTGAGGGAGGTTAGGCTCTGAGTCTCCAGGATTTAGAGGGTGAATGTTACCCCAATCAAAAATTGCCTCACTGAGCCTGTGCTGAGCTCAAGCCCCATATGACGGTCAATTCTCGACGGCATGGACACGCCGACAGTTGTATAGCGGATCGTGATTATCAAAGCCGTATAGTGTAAGGCAGTTGCGGACGATTTAAGGCGCAATGTACCTGAGTATTAAAAGAATAGGATGGGACAGAAAGCTGTCTGGTTAAAATGCATCGTCTCTGAACCATTGGATTAGGCTAAGTGCGACCGTTCAATAGCTTTAAAGCTTGAGGTTTAAAAAGATATATTGAATCTCTTTTGGTTTCTTGTTCTGCACGCATAATGAATTTTTATATTACGCATTACCTTAGGCTGCAAACTACGTCAGAAGTAGGATTAATGGGTAATGAATTATTATCATGCCAACTTTGTAAAGGCGCAGCGTTTAGAAATTTGAAGTCAATTACCTGAAGATCCTTGCTTCTACCTTTGACGTTTCATAAGATTCGTGAGCTGGAATACACTTTTGTAATCAGAAGAAATAAATCCAACATGCGAATGATGTTTTCCAGACTATAATACATCCAAGTGGTAGGTTATCGACCACTTACCCGTTGAAGATCCATGGCTGCTCGCGTGTGCCGTTGATCCAAGTGGTTAGAGTGTGTTTTAGCTCCCTTTACTTTTGTGCGACGTCATCACACCAACCTTTCCTCTCCTACACCATCAAGGCATGAAGGTCTATTGCATAGCGATCTCGCACAAGTCAGCAAAGGTGCAACTGCTGGCCTCGGAATCTGACCTCTTCATTCAACTTCTTTCAGAGGGAAGGTAAACCTTTTTCTTCCGTCTTGATACCTTGATCCCATTATAAAGCCACTGACACTCCGCCTCCCTCTCCGCCCCCTCTAGCGTTCAAGAATTCCTCAATTCTTCATTCAGACCGTCACTGGAGCGCACCTCCCCGGGAGACAGGCAAAGATTGAGGGATGGAGAGTAAGTTATACCATCTTTTATTCGTTTGCAATGTCGCCCTGACTGCTTATAAAGCATACGCTGGTCACGTCTACGTTAGACATGATGGACTTTCTGGAACCATCGTCACCGACAAGGAATACCTACTGTCTCTGCTTTCTCCGTCCTCAATAAATCTTGGAAGAATTCTCTTCAAGATCCCTCCTTCCCAATGGCCAGCCTGACTCCCGCCGCCACCTCCTCCACCTTCCCCGAAT